GGAGAATAATTAACATTATTGGGAATGAGAAAATATAAGGAAAAGAGGTAATATTAAAACAGAATCCCTAAGGATGAGAGTTCAGAAGACAGAAAAAGGAGAAAGGGCTATTCTAAGAATAGACAACAGCCATGCTCAAGGTTCAGAACGAAAGAACAGAGCCTGTCCAGTTGCTGTGGAAAAAGGAGGTGACACTTAGGCTGGGGCAGGACTACGTGCCCTGCCGAAGAGCTTGGTCCTTGTTTTGTAGGCAAGGGGGAGCCACTGTGGGTTGTACCCAGGGGGAATTACTTTGATGTTTTCTGACAATCACTTTGGTGGCCATGGAGTGAGAGGAGACAACGAAGATGCCCTCAGCACATAGATATAAAGTTGTATCAATGTTAGAAGTTATTCTAATGAAAACAGAAATGAGTTATAATTATTATTATCCTAGGATATAATCAAATTAAACTTCTGCTATTTCAGTGCCATTTTTCCTTTGGCAAAAATTGAGGTGAAATATTTATCTAAAACACCTCCTTACAGGAGCTGAAGATCTCAGAGAAGCTTCTCTTTGTGGAGTGCTTTGACCCAGAGGGTGGTAACGCTGACTCTTCTGAATGACTGTGTTTCTGTCGTCAGTGGAAGTACAGTCTGTCAGAGGGCGTCTCTCAGGACAGTTTCCCGGCAGCCTCTTCCGGGCGCCGCCATCCCAGCCCCTCTGCGGGCAGAGCGCCCCGTGGTCTCCAGCCATCCCGGCCCAGCCCGTTTGCCCGAAATGAATGAAATCACCAGGCACGTACTACGTATGCAGTGTGTGCCCTGTGCACATTTATACATATTTTAAGTGGGAGTGGGGAAGAATGTGTAGGCTGTGGGGGAAGATCATCCAGAAACTTTTTTTGAGCTGAGTTTCCAAAGGTTTTGCTGCCCTGGCCAGGCCAATTCCTGCCCCAGCAAAGCCCCCTGTCCACAGCACGTGCAGCTCTCTGTTCCGCCCCAGGCTCCTGCCCCTGTCGTCCCCTCTGGCTGCCTCATGTGACCAACCGTGCCCAGGGAAACGTCCTTGAAAAACATTTCTCTTTTTTTTCTTTTAAACAACACCTGGCGGATCCCATGTGAAATGTCCTTAATTAAGGGAGCTCACCAACAGATGGTGCTGCTGGAACCGGACTGTGCACACAGCCTCCTCGCCCCTCGGCAGGGCTGGCTCCTCGCCTCTCCACGCCAGGCTGTTCACGTCCCTTCCGTTCCCAAGTGCTTGTGTGCTCACTCACTTGCACCGTCCTGCAGTGGCCCACGAGGCAGGCCAGCGTGTGTATTAGGGAGCGCTCCCTGGGAATGTGACTTTCCCAAGGTCACCTGGATAGGCTGTCTCCTCCTCTGAGGTCCCCACCTCCAAACCCCACTTTCCCCACATGTGGCCTGAACAGACCATCACAAAGCTTTAGAGGCTTCTTCCGAGGACACCAGGCATTGGCTCTGGGTCAGTGGAGCTTCCAGAACCTTGGAATTCTGCCCTGGGCCACGTGTCTGGAACTTGCCCATCTCCTGGTGGTTGGCAGATCTGATGCAGGCCTGAGAACGTCTTCACACGGTGGAGGAGGCTTTTGGGGTGACTGACCACTGGGCTGGACATTGCCCCAGGTGTGGTTCCCGTGGAAGTGGTGAGTCACAGCCGTGGTTGCTGGCCTGCTGCTGTACCCATCTGCCTGTCTGCAGGCGTCTCACTTCCTCCTGAGATGGAGAGAGACAAGGGCCCTGGGTGCTGGGGCACCAGCTGCTTCGGCCCTGCCTGGTTACTTCATCTTCCTCAACTCACTTTGCTGTTCACCACCCATCACCGTTACCACCTGGAATCACCCGGAGAAGAGTGGAAGGAAACGTGAAAAGTATGTGTGTCATCACGTCAGGCTCTGGGGCTGCCCAGGTGAGTACTGAGATCAAAGAAGCAGGAAGAAGAGAGCCTGAGCCTGGTTTGGTTCTTGCGTGCGTTGGGAGGAGGGAGCTGGTGTGGGGTGGGGGAGGCATGGATGTTGGTGTTGGGCGGACATAAATTGGAATCCTGGCTTTTCTACTAATGAGCCCTGTGGCCTTGGCAAGTTACTTGAGCTCTCTGAGCCTCAGTTTTCTTTTCTATAAAGTGAGAGTTACAGTATTTTCTTCATAGATGGCACCAGGTATATTCCCTCTATTGTTGGTCCTGGCTCCAAGTCAGCCAGTGCCTTTGGGAGCATGGACAAGACCATGGGGGAGAGCTCCAACCACCTCTGGTCTGCACCAGAGCTTTATGAGGCTAAAAGGACTTAAAGGTCATCTGGTAAACTTCCTGTACACAGTAAGCACCCAAGGTAACCTGTGAAGGGGAGTCAGGATCCTGTTAGAAACGGGTACCAAAGATGAGTTAGGAGGGTGGAGTGGACCAAGCAGGCCAGGTGATGGAGAGACATCTGTATGATGGTGATGTTCTTGCTGATGTCTCTCTGTTCACCATCCTCTCTAGAATAATTTAGAATAATTACTCTAGTCTTCCTTCAGATTTCTTTTTCAGTTCTGCAGAGTCCTTCTCAACTGCAGTGCCATCTTTTGGATGCCCTTTCTTAAGCTTTTACATATCTAAAAGGCTTTTAAACATCTAGGTATATTTATTTAAATGACAGACATGAATGTGTGTGTAAATGCAAACATTTTTTAGCTAGAAAAGCTAAGTCGAATTGACTGAATAAGGAAAACACTCAATATTGCATTAGATAATTCACTTGATTTCTTAGAAGCCATATTTACTCAAGAGCAAAGATCTAGTGACTGCTTGTTTAATTTTTTTTTTTTTTTTTTTTTTGCTGAAGAAGATTTGCCCTGAGCTAACGTCTGTTGCCAATCTTCCTGTATTTCGTTTGTGAGCTGCTGTCGCAGCATGACCACTGACAGAGGAGTGGTGTAGATCTTTGCCCAGGACCTGAACCTGGGCCACCGAAGTGGAGAGTGCCAAACTTAAGCACTAGGCCATTGGGGCTGGCCTTTAATTTTGATTTTTCTAATAAAAGACATTAAAATTATAAGCAAATGAGCTAATAATGAGTTTTTAAAATTAAAAACAACAACAAAACATTGCAATGCTGTGATTGTATATAAAGAAGGTAACTTAGTAAACACAAATATGGCACAAGAAGGCTGAGAAAATAAGATGTGGAGCCAGGGTGGCAAAATGAGAATGTTTTTACCTAGACGATTTAGATTTGGGGGAGATATATTTATGTTAAACATTTCAAAAAGCCTGGAGAAACAGTATTTTCTGGAGATATTCTTAAAATTTTTTTCTAAATATTATAGCTTGGCTTATCTTGTTTTTACCATCTACCCTATCTGGTAATTATTCTGGTGCTGCTTTCAATTAACCCATTGTTCTGTGAAATTTCAAGCAGAAATCTTGTTCTTCTGATTACCATGCACCTGTCCCGCGCTCGGAATGACTTCCGGGTCCTCGCTCATCCTCTGGCCTTGCCGCCTTCCGCGAGCCTGGCTGGCCTGCCCTCTCCCTGCTGTTCTTGTTCTGCCAGGATCTTACCTTTCACTGACTCACAGGGCTCACTTGCACCCTGAAAGGAGGAAATGCAGTGGCTCAGGCCCAGCGACGAAGAGCGTGGCTTTTGTGAAAGATACATGTCCCCAAATTGAAACCAAGTACTCCCTTTCCTAGTGTCATCCTAAGGACCCTCACATTATAAGGATCAGTGGGGACTTCATCAAGGGAGGTGGAAGGGGGAGCTTCTCGTGGTTTGGGGGAGTGGCAGTAAGGAGCAATGACGGAGGGGACAGTTCCTACCCTCCAGTGCCTTCAAGGCCAAAACTTGCCTTTAGCACTGGAAAAGTTCCCAACTGGATTCAGGCTTTCTCAGCAACGGGACAGCAGAAATGCCCGTCTGAGTCCAAAGCTGCTGCTCTCCTCCCACGCAGAATCCAAGACTAGGAGGACAGCAAGATCACACAGACACTGCAGAGCAGGGATGGACTCTCCTGGGCTTGAACATTTATTGTTGCACCCTCCATGGATAAGGGTGGTCATTGTTGTGTGGGGGAAATACTGCTAGAACTCTCAATTTCAGGTCATTTTTCTAATATCAAATTTCATAATAAACTGAAGCATGATTTCCTTTTATTTTTCGGCTGAGGAAGATTTGCCCTGAGCTAAGATCTGTGCCAATCTTCCTCTATTTTGCATGTGGGTTGCCACCACAGCATGGCTGCCAGGGAGTGGTGTAGGTCCACACCTCGGAGCTGAACCCAGCTGCCACACCCACCTTAATCACTAGGCCATAGGGCTGGCCCCTTGTTATTTTTATTAAGACCTCTTAGCACAACAAAAAGGTATATTTATGGGATGTTTAAAAAACCCATTGGGTAAAAAAAATCCAAAGGCTAATGAGGATAAAAGAGTAAGCCAGATGAAGAAAGTAAGGAACTCGTATTTCTTGGGTGCTCACTACACGTCAGGTGCTCTAAAGGACCCTATTTAAGCCTCAGAGCAACTCGGAAAGGCAGACGTTTGCATCTCCATCACAGACGAGGGGTTTAAGCCATTTGCATGAAGATGGTGAGCCGCAGAGCAGGATTTGAACTCAGGCCCTCCAGCACTGAGGCTGTGCTCCTCCTCCAGGTCACCTGCTAACCAGGCAGGATGGGCCAGGCGAGGCATATGTGGGCACACGGGGGCACAGGCATTTCTCTGGCTCTCAATGTCCTCCAGTGGGGTTCAATGGATACTCCTTAAACTGTTTTCAAGACATAAAAGTATTGCCCACGTAGGTCCTCAATAAATATTGATTGAATCACACTGTCTCGATCCAGAATTATACAACAGACAGCTGAGGTGGGCTCAGCCCGGGGAGGGAAAGGGAAAGAAGCTGTGACCACACTGACTTGCAGTTAAGTGTCCAGTCACGTGGACCTCAGCCGTAGCGTAGTTGTCAATTTTAATATATACTTGGTCATATTAAAAATACATCTGTACAAAAGTAGAGTTTGGGCATATTTTTTATTAAACAAGTATGGTTGCTCCTTTGTAATACTCCTAAATACATGTCTGGGGTTGATATTATAAATCAAGTTGATTTCTGCTCAGGTGTATATTTTCAGTGGTTCCTACTTCCTCTGAGGAGCGAAAGGTCTCGGGCTGGTGTTAACCTTTACATCATGTTTAACATTACACGTGTGCAGGGCCCGGCTTCCTAAATACACTGGAAACCTCCCCGCATGTCTGGGACGCACGGCTGCTCTGTGGGGAGCGTTTCCTACACTACGCTACGGCTTACTTTGTATGAATTGCTGCCACGCTTATTTTATCTAGAGTTATCTGGAACATTTGGGCCTCCTTGATTTATGTGAGTGAATGAAAGAAAACCACGAATATATCTAAACAATAAAAAGATAGCAGATGAGATAGCCGAGCCCAGGAATGAGGAGACCAGATTCCTGCAGTTTCCTGCCTGCCACGGACACACTGGAGGTGGCCCTGTGCCGGGGGTGACTGGCATGGCTGCTGGTCGTCAGTCCGGAGCCCTCTGGGCATCGAGGCTGAGGCTGGGGGACCTGCTTCCAGCAGAGCAGCACCGAGAGCTTGTGTGGCTTCGTGTGACATGGTGGCTCATTCTCCTTAAGAGATAACTGGTACCTGGCTTCCCTGGGGTCTAGAGAAGATCTCAGAGTTAGCTGGACTTTCGTCATTAAGCTCAGGGGGGTAAAGATAATATGTCACTTGGAGTGCCAAAGAAAGCAAGAGTGAAATTCTGAGGTTTCTCTTTCTGCATTTGAATTCCTACCCTGCGGTAGCCCAGAAAGGGAAAATTACGGGGTTCCAACCAATGGGTTCCTTGTGAAAGACCTACAGCTTATATACACAGGCTCATCCCACAATAATCAGCACCATGGTCTGGGGGTCAAAGGCAGGAGGCGAGTGCCCTGTGCTCCCCCACGCCTCTTGGCTCAGTGCTCTTCTGAGACCTCTCTCCTCCCTTTCGGCCCAGAGCTCACTTGCAGCGAGTTCACCTGTAAGAACATATTCTCGGGAAGCAGGAGGAGCGGGCCCGGGACCCTGCCCGCAACAGCTGCTTCTCTGGCACACTGGCTCCATGGCTGGCAGTGAGTTCCAGATAGTACCTATTTGCATATGCTCAAAGCATGTAGACTGACTTAATGCTCTTTTATCAAACATCTTTAAAAGCCTTTTTAATAAATAGAATGCTTCCTATTTGGTAGGTGTAGACCAGTGGTTCTCAACTCTGCCTTCTTGTTAGAATCATCCGGAGAGCTCAAAATCTCAGGGATTTTATAGCTCCTTTGATGAATTGAAAACACAGAAAAAGAGTCTGATTCTAGCAGACTCTTGATTTCTGAAACCAACCTCCAGCTCCTTGCTTGCCCTTAATTAATTTTACCAGAGTTGACCCAAATAAAAATGTACTCATCTCACCTGCCGCCCCTGTCTGCCACTCACCGAGCAAGGAAGACGAAGGGCTTAGGAAGCAGATCTGATGACGCACAAGCCAATGAGGGATGCTCTGATGAATCAGGAGCAGCCCTCCCCTCACTGCAGAGTCCTCCTGCAGAGTCCACGGTACTAGCACTTCTGGGCCACCCTGTCTCCCAATCCACACACCTGCTTCCAGGCACTTCAGTGGGAAGGAAAGTCAAGAGCAGGAAAACAGCCCCTTTCTCTTTACAGGGCCTCTTGGTGATGGAAGTGGAATTGCCTGGATGTCATTCTGTACTTAGCTACAAAGAAAAAAAGAACCCTGGAATGTTCCAGAGAAGAGGGGCACATCTCACTGAGATGAAGATTACGGCATCCTCGCTGAGAAGGAATCTCCAGGGATGGATGACTGGAGAATCAGAAGTAGGGAGAGCTGGGGACTTACTTGTCCTTCTTGGCGGCTGATCTTTAAGTGTGTTTGGCTTGTGTTTCTGGAGAGTAAGACATAAGAAGAAAGGAGGGGAGGGAGAGTTAGTTCTTGAGAGAACTAGAGGCTCGAGCAATCACTCTTGAGCTGTTGATGCTGCGGGCCGTTTCTTTACAGTTAGTCCATAAGAGAAGCCGGGGCATTCACCCTAACCCCTCCGGCTTTCTGAGCAGCCTGGTTGAGTGGAGCTTCCGCTGCTTGCGGTGGAAACGCTCTTTCACATGGGCTTGCGTCTCTAGTGGGTTTTTTTTTTTTCACGTTATCTGTTGTCATTCCTCTAAATTACTGTGGTTTGACAGATGTCTCGGTGGTAATGTTGTAAAGGAAGATCTGAGAGGCAGACTGCTCAGCTTAATTGCTCACAATGTTCACGTTACTTTGAAAGTGTACGAAATTTAGGAAAATCTTAGTTCAAGTCACACAGAGGACAGTTTCACACCCTGTCCTCTTGGGCAAGGTTGGACCATTGACAAGGTTTGATCTTATCACAGTTACAGATATATTACAAAAAACAAAACTAATTCGAAAACAAACAAAAACAAAACCAAAAGCAACTTGGGAGCGGACTTGAGGAAGGAATATAAAAGGGCTGCAGAGGCTCTGTGCTCCCGTGACTCTGCAGCTGCTGGAGTCTGTGCTGGTGCTTTGTGAATATTTAGGTAGGAAGGAAGGGTTTGGTGAGGCTGGAGGGGAGACCAGAGGAAAGGGCTGGGGAGCTGTTCCTTGCCTGGGAACATGAGAGGAGAACACGGCCAGCGCCTCACAGGCTGGGGTCGGGGAGCCAAGGCAAGACGCAGGTGCAGGCGCAAGTCTGGTATCCTTGAGACACCTGTACTGTACTCTGGGGACGGGTGAACTGTGCCAGGCAGGATCTGAAGGTGCACTGGGGACTGGAGATCTTGGCCTCCTCGAGCTGCCCAGCACCTGCCTCTTTCTCAAATACTTTCCAGGTTCAAACATGAATGTGTTCAGAGGAGTTAACCTTTTTGGGGGACGAATTTGAACTTGCTTTAACCTTTTAGACATGGAAGCTTTAAGAAAAGTATCACCGTGATCACAGATGCACAGGGAAGGTAGACTTAAGAGTCTTCATGCATCTTCCAAAGTTGTCCCTTGCTCCCTGTTTTACGATTGGAAACTAGATTTAATCGGTTGGGAAACGTTGGGAATAAGGAAACCCATGAGCCTCTTTGAGTGTTTAGGGGGGCAAAATAGAACAAAACAGTCAGCAGCAGTTTCCAAAACCCCTTCGTGTCCTATTAAAAAACAAAGCTTTTCCGGGTGGAGGATATGTTCCCAGAGTTATGAAGTAACGTAGGAGCACGTGTCCACATGAAACAACTCCATTCAAAAGAAGAAATAAAAATCTCCTTTAGGAATGGCAGAGGAGGGAAGCTGTGCCGGTGTCCATGCACAAATGGGCAAGAATAGCATTACTAAAAATCACTCCCAATGGGACAGCGTGGCCACCACACATCTGAATAGTTTTCATTTCCACCAGTTTCCTCTTCAATAGTCGGATCTTCTAATTCATTTCAGGAAAGAAAATGGAAAGTAGATGTTGCATCTAAATTCCTTTAAACTCATGGTCTCATGTCCAACCAAAGCTGTAATACATAAAGATAAGTAATGGGTCCCTCCAGTGTCCTGACAGCATGTTTCAGGCTTGACCAGGAGGACTCAGCCACCAGCCCACCCCTCTGTCTGCCACTCCCTTTAGGTGCTTCTTGTCCCAAGAAGGACACAGTATCTCACCAGCTTGCCGACGCACCTGCCTGCCATGTCGGTGAGGCACGAGTCACTGTGCACCTGTCCGTCAGGAAAATGGAGGAAGCTGAGGAGCACACGATGCCCCTTGGACAGGCGTCACTTTGCCTTCGTGTCTCTCTCTTCTGTTCACAGTTTCATCACCTCAGGACTTTCCAGTGGAATTTCAGGAATCCTCTATTTATTTATTTATTTATTTTTAATTTTATTTTTTCTTTGAGGAAGATTAGCTCTGAGCTAACATCTGCTGCCAATCCTCCTCTTTTTGCTGAGGAAGACTGGCCCTGAGCTAATGTCCGTGCCCATCTTCCTCTACTTTATGTGTGGGACACCTGCCACAGCATGGCTTGACAAGCGGTGCATAGGTGTGTTCCCCGGGATCCAAATTGGCGAACCCCAGGCCACTGAAGCAGAGTGTGCAAACTTAACTGCTGCACCACTGGGGTGGCCCCAGGAATCCTCTATTTTAATTCTTGTTTTTAGTATAAGAACAGAAACTCTTTCTTCATTTCAAAAGATAAAATCAAATTGTGGTGCTGGCCTGTGGCTGAGTGGTTAAGTTCGCACGCTCCACTGTGGCGGCCAGGGGTTTCACTGGTTCAGATCCTGGGCGTGGACCTGGCACCACTCATCAGGCCATGCTGAGGCAGTGTCCCACATGCCACAACTAGAAGGACCCACAACTAAAATATACAACTATGTACTGGGGGGATTTGGGGAGATAAAGCAGAAAAAAGAAAAAAAAAAAGACTGGCAACAGTTGTTAGCTCAGGTGCCAATCTTTAAAAAAAATAAATAAAATCGTTTCCTGGATTTTTTTTCCTTCTATTTTACGATCATCATTAGCATTTAATGATTTCATCATTAGAGTTTAATATTACTTTTTAGATATAAATTTTATTTTATAACGAAAAATAAAAATTTAGGAAAATATTAAGAAGTAAAAATAAGGAAAATATCACATATATTTTCACCAAAGTATCAGAAATGGTATTTTGAGATTATTTGTGCTTTTTTCCACATAATGATTTTTTAAAAACTCAACATAGATGTAATATAGAGAGTGAAAAGGCAAGACGCAAACATTTTTTGGAAAAGATATTTACAATAAAAGTATCTGTCAAAGGACTCATATTCAGAGTATTAAAAAGTTCCTACAGGCCCGGCCCCGTGACCCAGTGGTTAAGTTCCTGTGCTCCACTGCAGTGGCCCAGGGTTTCGCCAGTTCAAATCCTGGGCGTGGACATGGCATTGCTCGTTAGGCCACATTGAGGTGGCATCCCACATGCCACAACTAGAAGGACCTGCAGCTAAGATATACAACTGTGTACTGGGGGGATTTGGGGAGATAAAGCAGAAAAAAGAAAAAAAAAGATTGGCAACAGTTGTTAGCTCAGGTGCCAATCTTTAAAAATAAAAAAATAAAAAAATAAAAAGTTCCTACAAATTAGTAAGAAAAAGACAATGTAATAGAAAAATGGGCAAAAGACTTAAATGGGCACATCACTAAAAAAAATATTCAAATGGCCAACAAACATATGAGAAAGTGTCCAGCTTCATTAATCATAAGGGATATGCAAATTAAAACCACAATAACATACCACTACACACCTACCAGAATGACAAAACTTAAAGTGACTGATGATGCCAAGTGTTGGTGAGGACACGGAGCAACCGGAACTCTCTGGCACTTCTCAGGAGAGGGAAAACTGCCACAACTCGCTGGAGAGCTTTCAGCTGGAATTTACCAAATAAGAACACACAGACACTCTCAAACCACCAATTCCTCTCCTAGATATACACCCATTGCATGTATCTGTGCAACCAGAGGCACGTATAAGAATATTCATTGTAGTACCATTTGTAATAGCCAAAAACTAGAAACAATGAAATGTCCATCAACAATAGGACAGATAAATGTGCTATCTTCATACAAGGGAACAGGACGCAGCAATAAGAAGGGAGTACTGCTAAATGCAGCAATGTGGACAAATCTCGTAAATGTAAATTAAGCAAAAGATAACAGACACGAGCATGCATTCTATGGTTCTGCCTATATACTTCAAAATTAGGCAAAATGTTGATGCTGATGGGAGTTAGGTTAATGATTACTTTTTGTGGGGTTGTGACTGAGAGGGGCTCTGAGGGGGCTTTTGGGGCACTGGCAATGTTTAATTTCTTGTTCCAAGTGGTCCGGACTTGTCTGTGATCACTTAGAGAAAATTTATTGAGCAATAAACCCATGGTTTTATACTCTTCTGTATGTATAAATGTCAAGAAAGTTTCATTTAAAAAATGTCATTTCAAGGAAAAGATACCATTTTCAAGCTGTTTGTGAAGAGTTAAATTTTTTTCATAAAATAAGTGGGAAAAAAAGCAACATTTCAAAATTGCCATATTCTTTTATATAATATGTAATTGTAAACACATGAAACAAAATTAAAATTAAATATTATAAATAAACCTATATAGTCGCAAACCTTATAAAAATATTGTACCCAAGTTATTTTAGTTAACATATAAAAGCATGTTTCATGTTACTGAAAATTCATCATAAATATCATTTCTGATGTCTATTATAGAATCAAAATTTGTTAACCCTTTTACTCCCGCAGGACTGGGTAATTTTAAATTTAGGGATATTGTTAAAAATGCTGCAATGAATATCTTGGTGCATAATTTTTTCTATAGTTCAAATTATTTGCAGATGTGGAATTACTGGGTTAGAGAGTATAGAGATTTTTAACTCTGAATGTATATTATCAAATTGCTCTCCTAAAGGGTTGCTATAATATATGCTCCTACCAGCAACGAGTGATTGATTGTTCTCACTTCACTAAAATTTCACTGATGCTATTTGTCTATGTTTATTTGATCTCTGCTAATTTTATTTGTGAAAAATGGTATCTCATTGCAAAGATCAACACTTTTTCCAAAAATATTGCATTTGGTGAAAATGTCTTTTGTGTTTGTCTGCAGAATGGATGTACTAGCCACATAAGACTTTTACCCAAATAATGTCACCCAGCTTTAAAAATGCTTATGTTGACCAGACATTTGAAGAGTCATTTAAAATCTTTTTGTTTCCAGTTAAAAATTATTTGTAAATATTCCAGTATGCATCCTAAAAGATAAGAATTCTTTTTAAAAAACATACACAGGGAAAGCAAATTGTAACTATGTGAGGTGATGGATATTAAGTAAACTTACGGTAATCATTTAGCAATATATATATATATCAAATCATTATGCTGTACACCTTAAACTAATACAATGTTATATGTCAATTATATCTCAATAAAATTGAGAAAAATTAATTAATAAAACTAAAAATAAAAAAATAACCACAATACCGTAATCACATCTAAAAGAGATAATTAATTTCATTAAATGCCTAGTCAGCATTCACATTTTCCTAATTGTCTTTTTTTTTTTAAACATTTTGTTTTTCCTTTTTCTCCACAAAGCCTCCCGGTACATAGCTGTGCATTTTTAGTTGTGGGTCCTTCTAGTTGTGGCATGTGGGATGCCACCTCAGCCTAGCCTGGTGAGCGGTGCCATGCCCATGCCCAGGATCCAAACTGGCGAACCCCTGGGCCACCAAAGCAAAGTGCGCAAACTTAACCACTGGGCCACGGGGCCGGCCCTCCCAATTGTCTTATAAATGTGTTTTTTAAAAAAATTCAGGGGCTGGCCCGGTGGCCCAGTGGTTAAGTTTGCATGTTCCATTTTGGCGCCCCAGGGTTTGCCAGTTCAGATCCCTTGGTGTGGACCTACGCACCACTTGTCAAGCCATGTTGTGGCAGGCCTCCCACATATAAAGTAGAGGAAGATGGGCACGGATGTTAGCTCAGGGCCAGTCTTCCTCAGCAAAAACAGGAAGATTGGCGGCAGATGTTAGCTCAGGGCTAATCTTCCTCAAAATAAATAAATAAATAAGATAATTAAAAAAAAGTCAAGTCTAAATCTATACATTGTGATTGTTGATATGTCTTTTATGTCTCTTAATTTATGGTTTTCTATTTAATTCCTTTCACACCCTAGATTTATTGTTGTGCACAATGTTGAAGAGAGTAGTTGTTATCCTATAGTGTCACTACACCTTGTATACTTCCCTGAGAGGGTACACGATGTATTGCTGTCTCTTTCAACGGTGTTTGTAGCCATCAGTGGTCATTGCCTGCATAATGAATTCATTAGGGCTTGCAGAACGGTGATGAGTTCCATCACTCCCTCTTCATTTGTCAGTTGGAATGCCTCAATACAGAGATTCTTCTCCCTCAGCTGCTTAGTTACCCTAAGCCACAGTTTATGTAGGAAGGGCAGATTAAATGCTTTGTCTAGCAGTTTGCAAAATGATTTGGTTCTCTGGTATTTTTCACAGGTGAACAATGAGTTTTACTTGTTTTTTAGTATCATTATGACATCAAAGACCTAACCACACTCAATGTGTTTCAATCCAACGCAGTTATCCTTTTGATGCAGAAGTGGTCTCATCTTTGGCCAGTTAGGGCCTCTTCAGACTGGCTTTTATGTCCTTTTAACATGACCTGAATGTTCCTTGATAGCTTTTTCACTTTCTGATATGACAAGATGTTCCAGGCTCTTTTAAAAATGTTTTAAATTGAATTTATCCTTAAAGGATAAATATTTGCAGCCATTGAAAATACTCAGAAAGGGAACCTTAAAATCTGAGTACAAATCTCACATTGGAATCCCCCCAAATATTCTGAGCAATAGCAACTTCCTCTTCCTTCAGGAGATGGAGAAGGTGTCGATTCGAATGACATAAGCCTCATCAATTCGTAACTTTCAGCATCTCTGTTTTAAAAGCCCTTTACATTCTTTCCTAATTAGTCACAGGCAGTTTACGTGTCTCCCTCCCTTGCTAGTCTATATTCTGAGACAAAAATCTTATCTTATTCATCTTTGTATTCCTAGCAAGTGTTTGTCACTTAGTGAGTACTCAAGAAATATATATTATTATTATTATTTTTTTTTGCAGAAGATTAGCCCTGAGCTAACTACTGTCAATCCTCCTCTTTTTGCTGAGGAAGGCTGGCCCTGAGCTAACATCGATGCCCATCTTCCTCTACTTTATATGTGGGACACCTGCCACAGCATGGTGCCAAGCGGTGCCATGTCGGCTCCCAGGATCCGAACCGGCGAACCCCAGGGCCGCCGAAGCGGAACGTGAGAACTTAACCGTTGCGCCACCAGGCTGGCCCTATTTTTTCATTTTTGACTTTATAATTAATATAAATAAATTTAGAAGAGCTATATAATACGGGGAAGCCCAGTAAGGTGAAGAAACGCCTCATTCCCAGAACCACACACACTCACCATCAGCGCATCTGTCTGACCGGGTGACTGGCTATGCACAAGACACAGGAGTTTAAGTTTTGCATCAATATAACCTGTGATTTATATAGTAGTATCTATATACATATTTAAAAATCTATACAATTACTTTAGTCTTAAAATACTTTTATAGTTTTTATACGGCTTTTTAATCCTCCAAATGACTAGCAAGATATGTAACATGAATGTAATCAAGGCCATTTTGTCAGTTGGAGCTAAGGAATAGAAAAATCAAATGATTTAACGGAGGCCGCAGAGGCAATGTCAGAGCTGAGGGGAGTGAATGACTTGTGCTCAGCCCCACGATTACAGCTCCTGGGCACTCTTAGGCCCAGAGCCTTTGGGGCAAAACTGTGGGGTTCCCCAGCCCTCACCCTCGCTTGCAGCATTTGGCGGTTTATGGAGCAGCATCGCTGACCTCACCTCTTAGGACAGTATTACTGTTTCAAGAAAACAAATAAAATGTGGTGTTTTTCAAGAGAACAAAAATGCCACACTTTTAGGGGGCTAAATTTTGCCCACTTTTCAACACTATTTTAGAACTCAAGTTACTCATTCCACTTCAAATTAAATTACTTAGGAAAAGGCACTTTAGCATAGTGTATGAAGGGCACAGATTATGGAAACAGAGACCAGCTTCAAATTCTGGTTCTACCACTTGTTAGCTTCTCTCCATCTCAGTTTCCTCATGTGTAGAATGGAGATAACACTCACAAGAAGGATCTATGTTAGGATTCAATGGGAAAATGAAGGTAGCACTAACCACAGTCCCTGTACATAGTAAGTACTCAATAGACATTTCCTACTATGATTCTTATTAGCGCTCAGCAGAATGTCAGGCTATTAGAACTCAATAGACGATAGCTAATAATTTGGTTAGGTGAGACTTCCCAGGGTGAGTGTTCCGATTCCTCACAGGCTCCTCTGTGGCTGCTACTGACAGCCACCAAAGAGAGGCCACTATTTGGAGGAAGGACCGACATTAGGAAGGGCCTGGGGGGCTGTGGTGGGGCCCAGGTCACGGGGACAAGGTCACCATTTGACATTAAGAGAAGAAGAGGTCGAGTCCTGGGGCTAAAGATTTCTAAAATGTGGGCAAGGACATACTGTGAATTCTCAATTTCTCAAGTGACAAACAATTCAAGCGCTCCCGGTCTCGGCAGTGGAGGTTCAGGGGCGAGGTGGCGGGATGGCCAGATCAAGGCCTTGGGAGTGGTGAGATGAAGGTCATTACTTACATTAGTAGGTGTAGCCTGGTACCAGAGGGGTCTGAACCTGTGGTGGAGCCGGGCGAGGTGCTGATACCCCTGGTGGCGGCTTCCCGGGGCGGCTTCCCGGCCCCCGTGAGCCGGGTATAGCGCTATTGCTCCCAGAGGGCGGAGCGGGTGGAGCTCTGCACCTCACATTTTCGCTCCTCTTACAATGTCCTCATTCAAAGCTTCCCCGGGCAGACCCAAGGCTAGAGAGGGACCCCGTTCCCTGACGGAAGCTGGGATATTTTACTCCGGGAGTCGGGTCCTCCCCGAGCAGCTCCTGCCCATTCCTCCTGCCCCCTCCAGCGCGCACTCACACACAGACAGAACCACCTGTAAACACCAAAGGACTTTTGGATCCCGGTAGGACCGCTGCTCTTTGGGACGGACTGAATTCATCACACTTAACATCCTAGGTACTGTGACGCAAAGATTTAGTGACTTGCTTTAATTCATCTTGTCTCCTCAACTTTTTTTCTTGAAGAATTTCAAACCTACATAAAAGTGGAAAGAATAGTACAATGAACACCATGACGTCCTTCACCTGGACTCCTCCATTCTTTCAGCTGACATTTATTGAGCACCCACTATGTGCTAGGCACTTTGATAGCCTCTGGATAAACAAAAGTGAATGAGTCCTGCTTCCTGAGCTCAAACTGCTCATGGCTTGCTGGGAAAGAACAACCATTAAGCAGAAAACTATAATATGTCCT